AAGGTGATAAGTATGTGCTAGTATTGTAACAAACTTTAATGTTCAAAACATAGAAACTAATTAAACTTAAATTGTCTATTGGTTTTAATAAACAAATCGAAGATGTATATTACCTAATGAATGAAGCTTCTCTGATTAGCTAAGAATCAATGTGTTTTTTGAAATTTTATAGTTGAATTTATGAATCAATTGAAGCTAGACCACCATGGAAAACCTGAAAGCACTAAACGGTCGTTTCGTCCTAATATGGTACTTCTCGGTGGTGCGTATCCACGATCCCGCCCCCTCGCGAGATTCGAAATCAGAACCTATCAGTCTCGCGCGCGAACGCTTAACATCTAAACCACTGAGTCGGCATCCAACAGTGTTAATGTCTAACTTCAACCAATCCACAAAATTGAGCCAACATCCACCATTACTGAGGAGTCCCATACTAGGATGAAACGGTCGTCCAGTGCTTCCAGGTTTTTCATGATCGTCTAGCTTCAACTGACTCATGAGTTCAACCATAAAATTACTAAAATCTCCATAAAACCCCTTCTGATAATAATTTTTGAAGTGTTCTGGTGAATTTCATAAAGGAAAAGAAAAACAAGCAAGTAAACATGAAGTGAAAAATAAAGAGAATCCAGTGAAAAGTTTCTTTTCGGCAAAATCATTTACTTAAATTAATGTTTTGTAATTTTAAACTGTAATCAGTCATTATTATTACCTTATACAAGTTTTCTTGATTATTATTCAGGTTTTATTATTATGATCTTTATGTTTGTCGTTTTTCTTCATAACTGTCAATTGGACAATTATCTAACCCGTAAATTATTTTCATCCTTACCCCTTGGTTATTGAGTACCTCATTTGATAACAAGGGTTTCGAACCAATTTATGATGCAATCGTTTCTATCCTTTTATGGACACATATTTTCCATATAACTATATAGAAGAACATACAGCTTAAGTAAATAATTTCGTTGAAAAGAAAATTTTCTTCGCTGGTTTTTCTTTATTTTAATTCAATGACACAATGGGCTATTTCAATTATCTGAACATGAACTAATTAAATTTGTTGGTTTGTCAATATACAAATTATTCTAATTAAAAAACAAAGAATATATTAACGCAATGAAGAAGTATATTTGACAAATTAATATATTCATTCTTAAAAACGTTCATTACATTGACTAGAGAAACTATAAAGCAAACGATCGTGAAGTGATTCACTAAATAATATGAACGTTCAGCTACACCATGTTACCTTAATAAAAATGATAAAAACGATAGAGGAATTATTGAACAAAAAAGTTCGTTTGAAAAATGATATAACTAGAAATCATTTGATAAAATGGTAAATGTATTGGGAGCCGAGAAGTTAATATAGGTTAGGCTATAAATATAATACTTCATTCTTCACAACTTGGGTAGTTGTGAGCGTTCCTAATTGTGCTGAGAACAGGTTACGTTAATCTGGTGGATGTACTTTCGGTCTCGTTATTTTATTAATCCGTACAGAAAAGGTCGAATCTACAGTGTAACAGTGTAAGAAGTCTTGTTATATGATTTTAAAACTTAACCTTCCCTAATTAGAGATGTTCGATCGGTATTGGCGTTAAAGGAGTTTATTTTCGGTTGTATTTATGCCTAAATAATCCCGATCTCCATAAACGCATTCTGGGATATGGTGGAGATTATAAACATATTCATTTGCAAACGCTTGTTTCAGTGTCTTGGGTATATTTTTCAAAAGCCAGTACAGAGGCTTTCATATTATGCATTACTTCTCAAGTAGATCAATGTGCACAATTTTCAGTTCGTATAAAACACACACATTATAAATACTTTAGAACGGTGATTGGGTAAAAATCTTCTGAATCCTATTTAGTTTAGATTTGTACTGGTACATTTTGGTTTTCAGTAAAGAAAATACAGTTTAGCACAATAAACGATGACATAATCGAAAAGTCGCACCAGAAATATGCAACAAATTTTGTTCCGTAAAATCAAATTAGATCTTCATTTGAGCATTAAAATAAAACAAATTTTATGGAGAAACTCACTTTCTTTAGTTATACATTTGTAAATATATAATATATGAGTGTTCAACTGTTTCCGATGCATACCTATTACACGTTAAAGTTAAAGAGAGGGTGACGAACATACGCTTGATGTGAAACAATGTATGACCTAGGTAATTTTAGACACAACTATCTTACACTGTTATCCATAGTATATCGTCAGAAATCCAATTATTAACAATTTGTAATCATAGATTTTAAGTCATGAACTGATCTTACATCACCACTGAAAACCTGGAAGCGATGGACAATCGATTCGTCTTAGTGTGGGACTTCTCAACAACGTTCACTCAAAACACTTAATCCATGAATCAAAGCTGGGACTTTCTGTCTCGGGTGCAAATGCTTAACCTCTAAAGCATTGAGCCGGAATCTAATAATATTACTGCCTAACACAGTGATCAAATAACTGTTAACCTCTTCTTTTCCAAAAGATTGGGATTTTTATTTTGCTTGTTTGAACTATGTAATTTACAAGCGCTCTTCATAGTTCCTACCACGTTTTACAAAATTACAATAACACCATTGCTCGTTTTAGTCATGTTTACATTCTTAGTTTATCGTTATGATACAGTTCTATTATTTTAGCATTATTCAATGATTTTGACCACCCACCAGTCGAGAAATATCAGTAGTTGCATTTTATTATACCAACTTTAACCATTACGGGGATGTTTAATATACTGGAGTGGAATGGGAATGGTTTGACCGCCTAACTTAAGTCATTCAAGCTAAAAGGTAATTACACAACCTGGACGACACCTAACATGAAGTACAAGCTATTCTGTTTCCTTAATATCTGTAGAGTAGTGACTTATTCAGAGAGGAAGACGATGTACGAGAGTGGCTAACTACTACATGTACCAACTCCATGTTTTATATTTGTCACTCAGCTTTAGTTATCCTTGACCATGATCATTTTCAGAGGACTGTACAACGTTCAGTAATGTTTTCTAACATAGAAATGGTTCAACTTGATGCATAATTTATCTAGGGTTCAGCGATATTCCAATGACCTTACAATTATTATTCTTTTTTGTTAATTAATATCAACCGCTCTTATCATTTTTGTAGTATGGGGAGATTTGTGATTTTAAAATTTTCATAGTTTAAATCAAAAAATGATTTTAGCTAGATCACTAGTGAAAACCTGGAATCACTGGACGTCCGTTTCATCATAGTATAGGATGGATCCATCATTTACCTGCTGTGATCACAATAATAATTTGCACAAGTTTCTTGTGCTCAATTACTTCATGGTCTTACTCTCATTCTCTGTGGCTTATTCGATTCGTCTATAGATTGAGCTTGCATAATTATGGAGAGTGATTGTAGTCATTCGTCATCAACAAATTAAGTAATAAAATGTACTTGTAAAACATTTTGTTTATGTATACAAATCAATGCGTATGTGAAAGACTAATAGTATGCGAAGTGATGAAGTGAATTTATTGTTTTTGCTTTACAAATGAATTAATTACAAGAAATTACAAATGTGTATTACGAAAGAAAATAACTGATAACGTCAATAATAATAAACGCTGACCTATTGAACAAATCCTTGAATTTGTTAAGAAATAACTTTACAAAGAATAAACAATGATCTAAAACCTTATTTAATTACAAAAAGCTTTTTTTCTTTATTTAAGACGTAGGTAAGTTGTAGGTACTATGGAAGAACTGAATCTTAGGTATTAGGTTTCTTTATCTTTTATTAGATCTTGATATTTAGAGCTATTTTACTTTGTGATTCTTGAAATTCATTGTTTGTCGGATTAAATTCTTTACGATACCTAATCATCTCGATTACAATTGATGCTGTTACTAATTCTATTAATGTAGTGAACGAAAACTCCAGTAGGGAAAATCAATTTTTTGTTTAATGCAAAATCACAAAGTGGCTTAGTGAAATATGAAAATCATACATTAAATACATCATTTGCACATTTTCTTTTTGTTATCCTTTACACATTCCATTATTCCTCTGATTTAGTTGCTATTTCGATTTCTCTCCGATTGTCTTCCTGTTCTCCTGATTTCAATCTTCTGTTGTCATGAATTTCACTTCCGATTGGTGTTATATACTACTTATGCCTGTTAGCATAAGTAAAAAACATCACACTGGTACTCTATCTTGATGATTTCATTTTACTGAGTTGATATGGTATAATAGCTTGAACCGATGCATGTATGTGTCACGTTTTACGTTGCTTATTACTGACAAACTATTTCTTCGATATTAAACCTAGTAAGTTTTACCAAGAGATGATAAAGAACTTTTAATAGGCAATTCGCTTTAATTATACAAAGGATCCAAGAATGATATATTTTTCTAAAAAAAAAGTCACTCAGTTTAAAATTTATTATCAAGCCTTCAAAAACAACTAGATACTAGGAACCAAATGGATCACAACATATCACTTTCTCGATATTTCTGATTTCTTTTAATACCTCTTTTCACTGCTGGTCGGTAGTCACTGATCAAATGACTATCTTGAAAATCGTAAATCATTGATCTATATAAATTGGCTTATCAATCAACCACTTCCCTAAATCCACAAAAAATGGTAATCAGTTAATAAAATGAATGTTAGACCACCATTGGAAACCCGGAAGCGCTGGACGGCCGTTTCATCCTGTTGTGGGACTCCTCAGCAGTGCGTATCCACGATCCCATCGCGGAATTCGAACCCAGGGCTTTCAGTGTCGCGCGCGAACGCTTAACCTACTGAACCACTGAACCGGCACCCAGTGATGGTGGTCTAACATCAATCGGTTCATGATCTCAATCAAAACTTAACAATCTCCACAACCACTATACTGATAATAAAATGAAGTTAACAAGTTGTGCTGTGACCGGATAAGTTTTTCAAATATACATTTTAGTCGTTACTTACCAGTCAGACGTTTTATTTTAATAATAACAATAACAATAATAAGGATGATTATAATGATAATAACAACAGTAATCTAGTACAATTAAGCATAAAATAAATTCGTTCAATAAAAGAACAAACAAATAATGAAAAATAATAAAATGTTAACAATATACATACATATTGAACAGTGAATGATGTAATGAAATATAACAAGAAAATATCAAACAGAAGAATGAATCTCAGAAGAAATAAAGAGAATGATTAGACAGATACATTTATTCTCTTTTTATAGTTATCATCAATAACAGGGAAAAAAAAACTTAGAGGACGATGATATATATATATATATATATATATATATATATATATATATATTAGTGTCTTCGTTTCTATTTTAATATTTGCGCCTTCATGCATCGTTAACTTCTTATCGAATTAACTATCAATTAACTGTTTAATGTCACTTGATATTGTTCATATGCTTCCAATTGACCAGATCGATCACAAGCAAATATCCATTCTGGTCGAATAAATATCAAATCAGTATTAGATGACAGTGCCTGTTTGTTTGTTTTTTGGTAGATTCATAGAAAAGTAGAAAGAAAGGGAAAAAATGATAAACAAATCGAAATCACAAGCAAAAATAAACAAACGATTACAGAAATTTTTTTTTCTTATTGTTTACATCTTTTGCATATGTAATTTACTGTTTTGTTTTATTGAACTAAATTATTAATAATAATATGGAAATGTTTTGACTCAATAATTTTATTGAGGTCAATAATTCGATTACATTCAGAATCATTATTAATAAGAATATATCATCAGGTTAGTTCATTTTATGTCAGAGCTCTTATCAAGTAAATACTTATGACAAATGATATGTTCTACTCTAATAATAAACTATATACCTCAAAAAGCAAAAACACAAGTTTATGTATTATGTACATTAGAGTATTTCATCAAGTGTTCGAAGATAATAAAAAAATAATCTGCCATTCAGTTAGTCATAAACGACGTTGAATAAATGCATCTTTGCTGATTCGAGGTTCATTTCGAGCCACATCACATAGTCTTTAACCATACATAGGCATTACTTCGTGAATCATAACTACAAAGGTTTTTGGTTAGTTCTGTTCATGTAAATTCTTTATTGCATAACATATGGTAAATGAAGGTAGAGTTTTTGAATCTCTCTTTTTGAGCATAAATTTTAATTCTCTAGCCTTTTGTTAAGCTAAAAACAACATACAAGGTGGAAGTTGCGAGTAAAGTGCATAGTTTATAGTGAATAAAATAACACTTGCTAATTGTTTGTGGGATTCGCAAATATCTATCCCATAAACATATTCATACTGGAATTAAAAGCTTGTTATACAATTTAGGAAAAAAAGGAATGTTACAATGGATTAGAACATGAAAGTGGAATTCGTTTGTGAGTTGCAGTAAGGTCAAATGAGACATCGAAACGAGTTAGGTAATGGACAAGATTTTTGGAGACAAAAAGATAAGTAGAAGCTGTGTAATTGCATGAATTTAAATCACCACATAGTGAACCCGTCAGCAAAATGGGATAATGCAGTTATAGTACAGTTAGAAGTTGTGAACATGAATACGAGTACATTTCGTAAAATGTTTTTAACTGAACTTTAGAGTCAGACAGTCGATACAATAATTTGAAAACCTAAAGCATACAGGCTGATATCAGGTTGAACTAACAAACCCAGCAGTATCAACAGCGAATCTTTTATATTGTTGGGACAAGGCTAGTGAAACTGTGCAATGTTATCAAATTAATGTCATGTAGTTGATGTGACCAAGATTCTTGGAATGTACTTACACAACAGTCATGACACATATTCAAGAACAGAGGTTGAAGATACAAATTTCTTCTATGGGAACTTTGGTATTTGAATTGAGTATTGCAAGAATAGACATCTGATAAATAATTATTCATTTTGGAGCAAGTCGTCAATCATTAACATTTCTCCGTTTGAATTTTACAGTATTTAACATAGCGACAAGTTGTAAACCTTAAATTATAAGCGAATCTGTAAATGATACGGTAATTTGACTAAGGATAATTCATGTCGTGAAATTCCCAAGAGTTATTGTAACTGTATGGTATGTGGCATTTTTTAACATAATTTTCTTCGAAGCCAAGTACATAAACCGATACTTCGTAAATAAATTACGATATGTAGATAAACTATCAAAGAAACTACTACTACTTACACATACAATAGTTTCTCGCCTCTTATGAGATTATTTATAACAATGAAAACATGGTTTATACATACCCATAACTACTTTTTTTATCAAACAAAGAAAATATTTGTGTATGTGAATATGCATGATTAAGACCTATACTGCTATCATCTATTTTTCAGACATTATCAATTAGGTCAAGCGTAAAAAGAGGAAGTAAGCCCAACTAATATGATAAAAGAACACATGAAATTCAATACATAGTGATTTAGACGGACAACAGACTGATAACGATGATGGCCTATATCCATATATTCTAATTGTAGGATTGTTCGGTTATAAAAGTAAGGTGGATAAATAATCGATGATATAGGATAGAATTCAATGAGAAATAAAGTAATTGTAGAAGACGAAGAAGAAGCATAGAAAATCGTTTAATCAACCAATCATAACAAAGATTCAATAGACAAAGACTGTTATTTATAAGTGAATATTTCGATAGTTAAGTGTACAAAAGACAATGACACATTAAAACGTATTTTTAAAAATTATTAATGATTATAATTGTTGGATGCATTTGACCCTAACTTGTCTGACAGGTATTAATTAATCAACATATGTAAATGAATGAATATCTAAACGAACTTCATATATTCCCTCTATGAGTATATAATATAACAAGAGAAAACTCGAGTAAAAGAAAAACATTGACAAACAGCTAAAAGGTAAGGGCAACAAAAAACTAAAATATAGAAATATGAAATGAAAATCATTTGATTATTTATTTTTCTCATGGCAAAGAACTGGATTGGTGGACATTTCGAACAGTGTGTATTGTATGTATGTATGTTTGTAGATGATGATAAGACCAGAGTAGTTACCAGTCTATGAAGCATTTTACTACGTATACTTTCAAACAAATCATAAAACAACTCATGACTAAGAAAAGAATAGTGATAAAGGGAATTGAAAAAAAGATAAAGAGTTTCAAAGTTTGTGGAATAGCTGAAGCATACTGATGAACACTTTAGGAGATTACGTGAATAAATGATAGAGATGACGAGATCATAAGAAAATATAATTGGATTTGTGCCTATATTTTTAGAAATATAAAAAATTTATTCAAATTAACAGAACAAAGGATAGAACGAGTGTGTGTATGGAAGTGACCAAGTCAAATTAACACTATGACGTTTCGAAGTCAGATATCATAAATGAGTTACTTATCAAAAAATGTCAAATATGTCACAAGTAGACGATTTAATGATTTAAAAAGAGTTAAAAATAAGTCAATATCATTGAATAGTAGCCTTGGTTACATAAAATTGACTATGTGACAATTTAAAATTGTAGGTTTGAAATCAAAAGGAAATCGGACAGAACAAATCTACGAAAGATTGTGATAAATTGGACTGACTAAAAATACCATTGAATTTTTCCGTGTATAAACTTATTCCGTGTTAAATTTATAACCAAAACAAACCCGTTGAGAAAAAGACAGTTTGGTGACGGCGGAAAACTACATACGATGATGAAGACTGTGTTGATGGAACAAGAAGTTGACACAAACATTGGTATTTCTAAAAACGATATTAATCAACTCTATTTAGCTAGTGTGTACATTATCGTGTGTACGAAATTGGTAGATATGATAATTATTCAATCTCCATTTTGAAACACTAGTTTTGATGAAGTGCTCACTTCTTATATGTGTTTTCCCGATACCTTACATACCAAAAATCATTTATTAATGCTGACACTAGGTGGAAAAGAAAATGGCTGGTCAGTTTATGATAATATTTTTGATAATGTTAATTACTGGAGATTATCAAAAGGACAACCGATTAGAAAACTATCTTTAATTTATCCAAATAATATAAGGGGATTGAGTAAACAAAACAAGATTAGATAAGCTACATAAGTGCCAAATATTTAGACGCGCAATTGTAAATATGTGTGCGTGTACGCTTCTATATTGTGTTAATACATGAGATCATTGAAACAAATTACAATAAGGGGAATTAATGCGAATTACGCAGAATCACAAAAAAAAAAAACACGTTAAATTGTGTTTACCGTAAAAACCAACTATGATGAGTACATGAACCAAGACGAAATAAAACGATTAACTAATGATAATGGTGAATGAAATGGATTGTTTACTTGGTTGGAGACACTGTCTTATTTGTTTAGCACTGTAGATGCTGATTGAATTCTACCGATCTAATTGCAGTGTAATGACTATTCCGAGTGACACAACATCAACTGAACTATGTTGAGATGGTTGGAGGTGGTCAACAGAAGATTCAGTTTGACTTGGGTTTTATACTATTCGGGAATCGTCAGCAAAGTGTAACCGTAACTTTGAGGTAACTGATTCATCCCGATGGTAGATGACTTTAAGTTTAGAGAACCGAGTTTTGTTATTGTGATAATCCAAGATCAGCGCAAAGGGGAAGCTTGAGTGATTCTTAAGATGACTAAATGATTTTGAAACCATTTTTCTTAACAATAAGCAGGAAAGTCTATACAAATCAAGAGTATTTCACAACGGCAGTAATGTAACTGGTTAGATTTTAGTCGTTTTAAGAACTTTATTGACATCTTAGAGCTGATTATCAGTTTTTCGATCTAAATATTGTAGAAATATCGTTACGAAACCTCATTAAACTGAGTATAAATTTGTTCATGCCAAAAATTCCTTTGCGAATCTTCCATATGTTCATAGGTTTATCAAATTTTGATCATCGCCTACAAAAGTCTGCTGAGAATGCTAAATCTCCAAAAATGAATTAGGAAAACCATTTCTGTAATTTAGTAATGGAATTTCGAATTTCTCATTTCCGCACCAAAAGTGCCCATTTTTACCTTCAGTTTGTGTTTTTCATCTGGGAGGACCTTAAATGTCATTGGCTCGTTTTCACTTTTAATAAGCTATATTGTGACCTTTTTCAAGGACATTTTTGTATTGTATATAAATTCATGTGTGTGTGCTTGTTCGTCCGCTCTTCCAAGTTGTGTGTGGAATTATATATTTTACCGCATGAATCAAGTCTTCTTCCTCTAGTTAGCATGACTGGAAGGCAGTGAAATAACTCAGCTTGTCTCGTTGTTGTATGATTGACTTTCGTTGCGTTCGTCGGTCCTAGGTGATATCTTAATCCCTCGAACATAACAAAGTGCTATTAAGAAGTTCATAGAAGAGTAATGAAGGTGACATTTTAGGGGAGCTATCATTTTTATGAGACGAATATGAAAAACTCAAGAGTTAAAACTATTTATTATTTTGACGTATCCAATAATAAAATGATTTTGCTAAAAAATTCTATAGAAAAAGTGAATTCTTTCTACG